TATTTTTTTGGTGATGTTTTGTTTATTTATTTGCTTACTTGTTTTGTTGTTCTCAAAAGTGAGAACTCCTTGCAGCTTTGGGTAATACTTCTACTAGCAGGAAGTCCAACCTGAGAAATGACACCGACATTGCTTTCACAAAAGGCATTTACCTTTGTAGAGTACTTGGCATCTCTCACTTGAACTAAATACAAATGCCCTCTTAATCATGGTCTGGTAAACGTGGTTCTCATAGCTCCTTCATTCACTCAGTGTTCTTGACAATTTCCAGCCAGCACCAAATATCAACCATTTCCCTATGGCCTTTACAAATTAGTCATACTTCACATGAAAGATCTGTGATCAGAATACACATTCCTTATGGAAACCTTATGGAAAAAAAGCTAAAATTTAGTTGATTTAAATACTTAAATAGTTTAACAAACCCCAAAATAATTAGACCCTCTAAATTCAATTTGTCTTATGAAATTTACAATAGCTTCTCCAAAGAATAAATTGCTTGTCTATTTTTCTTGGTCATCTTGTGTTTTCCTTTTGCTACCGTACTTACACATATTCAGAGAATGTACAAGAGTTTTCTTCAGAATATCAAGAAGGAAGGTTAAGTTTCATACTTAACCAATTCACCATGATTGCACCAAAATGACTTACTATGCTAGGGAAAATTGATCCTTTGTGTGGTTGTTTTGAAAAATTTCATTGTTATTGTTAATTTCAAAAGGCTTCCTAAAATAAAAGAACTTCACAAAGTCATTTCTGAAATTAGCATTAAATATAATTACTGTTATGTGAATGCTTATGTTTTCAAAATTCTCACTGAAGTTTCATTGCCATTAGGATGGTATTTGGAGGTGGGATATCTGAGAGGGGACTGAGCCAGAGGGCCTTGTCCTCATGAAGGTTTTACTGCTGTTATTGTCGGAGTCATCTCTATGCAAGGGCGAGTTATGCTCCTTTTTGTTCATTCTCTCTCCTTCCTTCCTTCCTCTCCCCCTCTGTCCCTCTCGCTCAGCTTTTCTGCTGTTTCACCATGTTAGGAAGAGTGTTCCTCCCCTTTGAGGAGAGGGCTTCAAAGTTCCATCTTAGAAGTGTAGATGACCCTGATGGAACACCAAAACTACTGGCATTTTGATCTTGGACTTCCCGTCTTCAGAACAATGAGAAATTTTAGAAAAAATCTTTTTTTAGATTTTGGAGTAATTTAACAACTTCTTTGACTTAACATAGAGAAAAAAATAAATGCAAAAACAGTAAATCTGTCTTTCTCCAAGAGCATCAAGAAGGAATTAAAGGCTGGATGCATACTCATCTAGAAGGGGCAGAGAAGATTTGAGGGTCTTGTTCTCAGGGTGTGGTAGAGATACGGCAATCAAGAAAGGCACTCATAAGAAAACAAAAAAGGCAGGAATGAATAAAGCTTTATTGAGCTGGCTAACAGACAGTCTCTAAGCAGGAGCGGGACTAGATGTCTACCCCGATCTGGGTTTCACCTTTGGTTTAAGTACATTTTAGGATTCCATAGTAACCATTACCTCACATTTGGGAATCTCACAAGAGTGTCACACAATTATCACAAAGTTTACTTCTCCCAGAAGGTCAGACATCCAAATTCCAACCCACTCCCCAATGTGTCCTATTTGTGCTGTTCCCATTTTATGACTCTGCTCTGCTCTGAGTTGATAACAAACCAAAGTGACTGGGTAAAGTGAACTTTAAATGACTTCTCTTAATATGGAGTTACAAACAGAAAATTGAGTCTCTCTTGCCCTATCATTCCCCCATTAAGGACATATTTTCCTTTTTAGGACATATATTGTTCTTCACATATTGGGGACCTGGTCTCCACTCTATAATTGGTGTTTTCCTTTAGAGCCATCATTTGTGCTTGGTTTACACTACTTTGTGTTTGTTTTTTTGTTTTTTTCTGGTACTGGGAATCAAACTCATGACCTTGTGCTTGCCAGGCAGGTGCTGTGCCACTGAGCTAAATCCCCAGCCTCAGTTTACATTACTTTGGATCCTACTTTTAACCCAATTAGTTATGCATGATTCAAAAGTAAGGACCCCACAATAATCACCAGGGACCCAGCTCCAGTGGCTCCCAACATGTATCAACTCTCTAGAGGCTTTGGAACAGCTTGTTTCTCTGTCCCTTCCATCTCTCTCATAGTCCCCTGAGCAAGAAAATACACCTCTCCTACCTGTAAAGCCAGTTCAAGATCTCCAAGCTACTAATGCCATAGTGATTACCCTC